CCTCCTCCTCATTACACTCCTTCGCTTTCTCCTCCTCATCAGCCTCATCCTCCTGATCATCCTCCTCCTCATGTGCACCCCCCCTCCTTCGTGTGCCCATCTTCTGGCCCTCCGCAACCGTATCTCGACCTTTTCCGCCTTTTCCTTCCCATCCTCCTCTTCCTGCTCCTCCTCCTCCCCCTCCTCCGCGTCCTCATTCTTTTCCTGCTCCTCCGATTCCCATTCTCCTCGTCCTCCTACTGCTCCTTCCTCCCCCGTCTTCCCCCTGCCCCAACTCCCCATCCTCATCCTCCGCATCCTCATCCTTCCCCTCCTGCTGCTCCACAGCGTCCTCCGCCTCCTCCTCTTGCTGCTGCGACGACGCGCGCCAACAGCGCGCAAGGTGGCCAGAAAGCCCCCGTTCGACGGAGGGTACCCGTACCCGCCGGGCGGCGGGTATCCGTATCCTTAGGGCGCCGCGGCATCGCCACCGTCGTCCCGTGCGCGCGGGGGGGAGGAGGAGAAGGAGGAGGGGGAGGGTGGAGGGGGAGGAGGGGGAGGAGGAGGAAAAGGAGGAGGAGGAGGAGGAGGAGGAGGAGGAGGAGGAGGAGGAGGAGGAGGAGTAGGTGGAGGAGGAGGAACAGAAGGAGGAGGAGGAGGAGGAGGAGGAGGAGGAGAAGGAGGAGGAGGAGGAGGAGCAGCAGGAGGGCGGAGAAAGAGGGCGGTGGAAGAGGGCTGTGGAGGAAGGCGGAGGAGGAGTAGGAGAGAAGAGCTCCTGCTGCTGCTCCTCCTCCCTCCCTAATTATCGTCCTCTCCTTCCTACTCGTCCGCAGCATGGTCGTCCTCGTCATGACCGTCATCATCATTGTCATTGTCGTTGTCGACATCGTCGTCGTCATCGTCTTCATCGGCATCACAGCTCTCATCATCGTTGTCGTTATCACCGTCGTCATCATCGGCGCTGCCATCATTGTTGTCATCATCGTTGTCAACATCGCTGTCTTCGTCATCGGCATCAGTATCCTTATCGTTATCGTCAGCGTCATTATTGTCGTCATTTTCGTTATCGTTATCAACGTCGTAATCATCGTTGTTGTTAACCTCGATCTGATCATCGTTATCGGCATCATCGTCATCGTTGTCAGCATCGCTGCCGTCATCGTTATCTTCAAGAGTATTGTCATCCGTAGCCACGCAGGCTCAGTGGCAAGCGTGAGGGAGCGCGACGTGAAAAAAACGGCGCTCGACAACCTCATTGTGTGTCGAGGGTTACTCCGTTAAAAATTCTGCTGGACGCCGCCGATGGAGCATGACGATCCAGCTTGGCCCGCATCATTTGCTGATGCAGGGCGCGATGCTGATCGGCCAAGCTCAGGTGTGGAGACGAAGGCAGCGTCGTAACGCCGCAGTGGCAGTAGTCAGAGGAAAAGCCGAGGAAGCTTAGCATCGGGGTCGAAAGATCGCCCATGGCGGCAGAAACTGGCTGAGAACGTGCGCGAGCAGCAGAAATTCGCCCAGCGCCCGCACCAAGAGACCATGAGTGTATCTGCTAACATGCGGCAAGACATGCAGTCCCAGCATGCCCAGATGATCAAGCAGCAGCGGCAGGAGGCAGGAGATAATCCGCCGACCCCAGAGGCGTGTGAGGGAGAGTGCGTGCTAGAGCCATTCATCGTGAGCTTCTCCTTTCAAGCAGCCACCGACCGATACCCTCCTCCTGGCTCCCTTCCTTGGAACCTCTGTTCTTGTGCCCCCCTTTCCCCCATCCCACCACTTCTCGCCCAAAACCAACCGATACCCTCAACCACGCTCCCCACCACGCTCCTGCCACGCTCCAACCACGCCCTGGCATCCTCACCCCCAGGCTTCTGGGCTCTGTTCTCCCAGAACCTACCAACGCCCCCCTCCTGGCCTGACATCCCCACCCCGGGAGAGCTCTGTTCTTGGGACCCCCCCACAATTTCCTCGCCCAGAACTCACCAACGCCCCCCTGGCCTGCATCCCCATCCCCGGAAGAGCTCTATTCCTTGGGAACCCCCCACCCCACAATTTCCTCACCCAGAACACCTACCTGACGCCCCCCTCCTGGCCTGACATCCCCATCCCTGGAGCGCTCTGTTCTTGGACCCCCCACCCCACAATTTCTCGCCCAGAACCTACTGACGCCCCCCTCCTGGCCTGACATCCCCATCCCTGGAGCGCTCTGTTCTTGGGACCCCCCACCCCACAATTTCTCGCCCAGAACCTACCGACGCCCCCCTCCTGGCCTGACATCCCCACCCCGGGCGGAGAGCTCTGTTCTTGGGAACCCCCACGCCCACAATTTCTCGCCCAGAACCTACCGACGCCCCCCTCTCTGGGCTGACATCCCCACCCCGGATAGATCTGTTTCTTGAAACCGCCCACCCCACCATTTCTCGCCCAGAACCTACCGACAGCCCCCTCCTGGCCTGACCATCCCCACCCCGGTAGAGCTCTTTTTCTTGGGACCCC